CCTGCTGATTACAGAACCGGCATTACTATCAAAATGCGCATGACAATCTCATTTGATTAATCGTGCAGCCCTAACGCAGAGTCTTAGATCTCAACAACAAGCGATTTTCTTCCCCTTTTTAAAGCTGATTAGCCTATTTATATTTATATATGAACGGTTTTGTGATTAGTTGTTTGTGTGGTTGTTCTCTCTCAGACATGCAACCCATTGTTTGGGTCGTGACTCACTAGTTGACAATTATTTGTTACACGAGACACAAATCGGGGGCTCGTCCGGGATGCGAAACCGAAAAGTGACTTATACCTCCAAACCACAGCACGTTAAAGTTGTTTGCATACTGTCAAGCCTGAGCTCGATGATCTTAAATGTGATTGCTAGAAGTGAAGCAAAATATCAGATATGCCATTTGCTTGGCTTTCCTCCCTGTTAAGGTCAGAAGTGCCTTCACTGCAGGACCAGATATGCTCAACTGGATATGAAGACATGCATCCAGTTAACCCTGATAGAAACTAGGCTTTATATTCTGCAGTTTGCAGTGTTGAATTCCCAGCACAGCACCCAGCTTAATGCCTACAGCAGAGCTTGTCTCCTGTCCCACACCTCTTAGGGCTGAATAATTGGGCTTGTGGAGGTTGTGTTGGTAGACAGCGAGAGAGACTGAAGGAATAGCCTTGCTGCATATGTGTGTTTTCATGTGGATCAGATCTGTTGTCTGTTCTGCTCTGATGCTGGTCAGTGTAAGTGTGATGGGTATTAGTTGACAGTTTCTTCCACTAGCTGGAAGCACCCGTGTTCCGGCCAAAGAAGGGAAAGCTGAGGAGTAGACATGACAGACCTGGAGAGTCTGTGCTGCCTATGTAGGGCCTGTGGAAACAGCTGGGCTTTACACACACCTGGATACGGCCTGAATGCATTCAAGTTTGCGTCAGATTTTAATTTTGTAGTATTTTATGAATCTGAATCTGACACTATGAATCTGAAATTTAGATTTTTTTTTTTCTTTTGTGGTGTTTTGTTTTATTTATTTATTTTCTATATTCCGTTTTAATGTTTAATAAAATTTTAGTAATCAAAAAGCATGTCTAATTGAATTCACAAAATGGATACAATTTAATAACAATTTATTAACATTTTTCCCAAGTTCTGTGTTTTCAGTTTTTATTTTTCTAGATGTAACTTTAATGGTTTAGTTATATTTTAATCAAAAGTCTAATCAGATAAACTTTAACTATTTTATATCTTAATTTTATTTAAAAAAAATTTTTTGCAATAACAGGGCTCTATGAAATGTTAAATTTTTCAGAAATTCAGAAGTTTTTTTTCTAGATTTATGATTTGATACAAATTAATTACTAAGGATGATGATGGTAATCAATGAAAGTATAACATTTAATCAATTGAAATGTACCAATTTAATATCTCTTTTATTTGCAATAATGAAATAATTATTTACATTTTTTTTTTTTTTTTTAGAGCAAATGTAAAGTAATCCGGATGCATGACTGAGACCCGCGGCATTGACGCCATGTTCTGAATGATAGTGGTGTTTATAAAGATTTTTAAAAATCCTGTGCCGGCTCTTTTTAAGTCTGTCTGTGATTCTCAGCTGGTTTGGTTTCAGCAAACATAGTCAGGCGTGCAAAAGTGTCCTTAAAATCAAAACAACCAAATATCTTTAGGGCTGAACCACTAAGGACCTCAACAACCACAAAAAAGTCATTGTTTTCATTGTTTTTGACCATGTAACCTTGCATAAATAATGTTGTTACAAAACTAATATTTTAGATTTTTTTTTTTGTGAAATTTCTCAATTCTCATTTCCAATTTTGATACCACTGCAACAACTACTAGCCAAGCTAATTTAAAGTTCAGACATTATTAAAGACAAGTAAACAGTTGAATTGCAAGGAACAGCACAAATAAATGCAACAAAGATACTATAAACTAAGCAGTGTTTAAAGTTCTAGGTATGGTTAAGAATAGTTATTTAGGTAATCAAATATAAAATATCACAGCATAATTTTAACTTTATACTGTAGATTAGGGCTGCACGATAAATCGCATGCGATGTTTAACGCGCATCTTATCAGTAAAGCCGGTTCTGTAATCAGCGGTAAATCTCCATCACGTGCGTGCTTTCACATTGAGCAGCATTAACTACACAGAGCCGTTGTTCACTGACGAGCTGCAAGTCTAATCAGATAAACTTTAACTATTTTATATCTTAATTTTATTTAAAAAACATTTTTTGCAATAATAGGGCTCTATGAAATGTTAAATTTTTCAGAAATTCAGAAGTTTTTTTTCTAGATTTATGATTTGATACAAATTAATTACTAAGGATGATGATGGTAATCAATGAAAGTATAACATTTAATCAATTGAAATGTACCAATTTAATATCTCTTTTATTTGCAATAATGAAATAATTATTAAATTTTTTTTTTTTTTTTTTTTTTTAGAAATTCAGCTGTTTAGAGCCATACTTTTGATTTATTCATCTGGAATTTGCCAGATTCCACAAATATTTGCATTGTACGGTAAATTATGACTTCAGTCATTCCGTCACAGGCGTCCGTATTTTCTGGATTGCATAAATCATAGGGCCATTATATAGGCTAGTCGTAGACTGACATATTATCTGTAAAATGTTGACATAGGTTGGATAGATGCACCTGTAAAGTAGTAAATGTTCAATGTACGTTTTTTGTTTTAATGTGTGTGTGTGTGTGTGTGAGATTAATCCTTATTAAAGTATCAAGCGCTCTCTGTTTGAGTTTTTAAATTGGCAAGATATTAAAACGCATACAAATAATAATCTTTTGGAACAATGCAGTCCTTATTGTCGATCTGCATAGGCCCAACAATAAACAATGTATTAACTGAATAAGAAAATTGACAATTTTGAAAATGCATGAACGGCTGCAGAAGGGCGATTAACCAGTCTAGCAAATGGGACAAACACTGGGCCAAATGTTTGTCATTTTTAACCAAGTGAGATAATTTTGTGCAACAATACCATAGAGTTTGATTGGACGCAGAGTAGGGCTGCACGATAAATCGAAATGGAATCGAGATCGCGATTCGACAGAAGCTGCGATTGTCATGCGTATCTTTCAGTGAAGCACGGTTCTGTGATCAGCAGTAAATCTCCATCCAAAGGCCAGAGGGCGCTCTCACGCTGAAACTCCAAATACGCCTCGCAGAAGAAACCTTGTTTTAATGTGTGTGTGTGTGTGTGTGAGAGAGAATGTGCAAAAAAAGAAAGTTACTATTATTTAGTTTTCACAATACCAAAAGTTCACTGGCTGATACGATACCATAACAAACATGGTGCTGAACTGTTTTATTTAAATGTAAATATTAACATTTTAAATGATAAAGCTTTTTGTATTAAACATTGCTTAAGGGAACATAAGTATACTGCAGTTGCATAAAATGTTTCCTGTTGTTGTGTTTTTCATGTGCTTCCAGTCTGTGACCGTGTTTGAGTGTTGCAGCATATTTCTCTGTTGGGTTTGGGTGCGAAGGTCTCTGCCAATAGAGGCCAGTTATGTGAATGAACTAGTTCAAGAGCTTTCCACAGAGTCAGAATAGAGAAGATCACTCTGTTTTATGGTCTAACTGATAAAGTAGGAAGTAGGTTACATCAGCACTCACCTTAAGTAATGGCTTTGTAAAGTGTTTATAGCTTGTCTGTTTCGAATTAATTGAAAGTGAAAGTAAACTTGTGAAATTGCTCCCTTTCCGAGTATATTCTGCTGAATGTGTTTTGATGCACACATCGACAGCATATGAAGAAAAATAACGTGCCGTATAATGTTTCACTTCCTATTTCTGCTGCAGAAAATATATGTAACCTTGTGCTTCCTTTTCTCTAAAATAGAAGAAAAAAAACACATCCTCTGGTTATTTGTGTTTGTGGTGAAGCAAAAACAGCCTCTGTCAAATTTTTATTTTCAGAGGTAGTTTTTTTGGTATATGGTATTTTGTATGAATTATGGAAAGGTAATTAAATAACTGCTTGAATTTTGGTCTGTTTGTCCCACAAAGCATTTGTTTGGCTTTAGAAGCTTGATTTGTCTAAACCACTTTCATGATTTGTTTTGATGCATTTTGTGTTTTTTGTTTGTTTGTGAAAAAAAAAAAATCTTAAAAATAAAATTATTCTTAACTACTATTCAATAAAATTAAGAATATTTTGTAATCCAAATAAATAAATAAATACAATAACTGTAATAGAATAAGAAGTATAAAAATACAAACTAAAAAAAAAAAGTTATTATCTTTTACTTAAGATCGTTCTAAAGCCAAACCACTCATTTTATTCTTAAGGACAAGAAATAGAGTTAGAGGCCCGCTTTTGCACATTTTATGAACTTATTAGAATTTAAGGAATTTCTTAACTTTATCTCTTAAGATTTTTGTAATTTTAGACCCAAATAAGATGCTTTCATTGTATTGAGCAAAACTACTTATTGTGTGTTGCACAAAAGAAAGTCATATAGGTTTGGACACTTAAGGGTGAGTAAATAAATAAATGGAAATAAATTTTTTTTCAAACTATCACGTGAAGAACCAAATGCATCACTATGCATTGGCATCCAGAGCCTTGCATTATAAATGCAATGCAGCGTGTGATAATGGTTTATTATGGAGCTGTGCTGGATGCATAAATGTGTCTCACAGACGGAGAAGCACTGTCTCGTCTCTCTCATGTGAGGCCTGTGAGTCACTCGTCTCTCCTCTCTCTCTGTTCTGGCGTCTCTGGCTTCCCAGGTCTGACGTCACGTCTGTGTCGTCACGGCTGTAGCCTGCGGACGCTGCTCGGGAACATGTGACCCCTCCGCCGGGGCACGGAGGATGAGGAGATGAACACGGATTGGGCCTCCCTGCAGGCCTGACGCTTTTTATAGATCCCAGCCAGTTAAACAGAGGATGCTGGAGATGCTGGTGAAGGAAATGACAAACGAGGATGCCCAAAATGATTAGAACACTAGTATTTTCACCAGCTAAAAAATGGTTTTAATCTATCATTTGCTGTAGTGTGTCAGTAGGAAATATCAGTTTGCATTTCCAAACATTCATTTGGCCATTAATTGTAATAATACAGTGAGATTTTTGTGCTCCACACAGAGATCCGATCTGATCATCATCAGTCTGTCTGTGATTACATGAAGCAACTGAGACAGACTAAATCCAGAAGAACTGTGTCTCCGAGACGCTTCAAGAAACCTCCTGCAAAGCTCCTGAGAAACTCTGCTCAAGTGCACCGAGGGCAAAAGCTGCTTTAAAAGCAAAGGATGCTCACAACAAATGTTGATATAATTTAGTTAATAGAAGTTAATTGATAAGGAAAATCTATTTATGACATAATTTTTTTTTTTTTGAGCATTTTTACACCAGTGCCTAAAACTTTTAACAGTACTGTAGCTTTGCAGGAGGTTTCTTGAAGCGTCTTGGAGACACAGTTCTTCTGGATTGAGTCTGTCTCAGTTTCTTCATGTAATCACAGACAGACGGATGATGATCAGATCTCTGTGTGGAGCACAAACATATATCTCACTGGATTATTACAATGAATGGCCAAATGAATGTTTGGAAATGTAAACTGATATTTCCTACTGACACACTACAGCAAAAGATAGAAATAACTGACTTAAAACCAATTTATTCGCTGGTGAAAATACTAGTCTTCTAATAATTTTTTGCCACCACTGTATCTCATTTGTTCTTTCTCATTATTCTTCTCGAAATCACACACTGCACACTAAGAGCTCGTTGTTGTCCTTTAAACAGCTGTCTATAGATCAGGCCTCGTGTGTTTAAATTAGGCTGTTTTCACACTTAGTTTTGATTGCTTGGTTTGAAGCTGAGCTGCATTGATTAATCGACATCAAACCCAAATCGTGCAATTATCAAATTGCAAAGGCTGTGATTTCATGAAATATATCCATTGCGTGTTTTAAAGTGAAGCTGTGTTCATTTACACATGAGCAGCTCGTGATCTGGTGTTTTCAGCATCTCAAAGCATTTACAGTAAATGCTGCTTCACACAAACTTCATCTCTGCATTTGGAAACGCGATGTGTGCCAAACGTTTTCCCATCCTTGTAATGAGAAATTTGAAAATGAAGAAATTAAGACATATTAATACTGTAATTTTACAGTTGCAATGTAAAATAAATAAATATTTTTATATTATTTTACAGTGAAATTACAGTGTTTTTAATAGTATAATATTGTAGTAATTTAAAGAAGTAATATTTCTTAAATAGTTTTTTTATTTCTAGTCTTTTACTTTTTAATTTTTAGTCATGTTTACTCTGTTATTTTGTTGTAGTAGTAGGAATAATAATAATAATAATAATAATCATTATTATGTTTTTTAACCCAAACCTTAAACCTTACATCGTGTAATAAATAAATAAATAAATGCATACATACATACAAACAAACAAACAAATAAATAGTATTTATTGATTTTTAGCCATATTGTTGTAATCAAAAAACATTTCTTTGCCAAATTTTGCAGCCCTACAAACAAGCACAGAAAACCTGGATTTTTCTTTAAACACATTTTAAATCACAATTACAGTTTGTACCTGAAAAATGGCAGTTATATTAAATCTTGCTGCTGAGTTCAAGTCTATTCCTCTCTGCCAGCCGCTTTAGGGCTCATCCACACGAAGCCAGAGCTGTTCCTATCTGATCTACATTCTTCCGCAAACACGGCGTCATATCATGAAATATCGGCATACTCACAAAACCACTGAAACTGACTCAAAACGATGTAGCATACATGCCAGACCGGTATGTGGCGCTGTAATTCTGCGACAGAGATACACTAAAAATGGAGAAGAGTCGGAGCATGCGCATAAACCTTGCGTGCTGTATACAAACCCAATGTTGGATCCGTCTGGACGAAAGACCGATACTATACCAAATGTTTACGTATACAGCTACACAGTGTGAAAATTAAATTTACTTTTGGCTCCAAACTGTGGTATGATTGTCATCAGTGTGAGGCGCAGCAGCAGCCTTTCACCAATGTCTCTTCGTAACAACTCACTAGGGATGGGCGATATGGGCTTAAAAATATATCACAATATGTCTGGTATTTATTGCGATAACGATATCAATGACAATAATTCAGGGAATCCTGTTTCTTTAGAGAAAAGTATTATCTTTCCTATTTTTACCCAAAATAGGGTGTTGTGAGCATTACTGAGTACACACGTAATGTAATGACTGTTTAATTCATTCTGTAAGCCGGAGGGCGCCCTCGCGCAGAAACTCCACATATGCATCGCAGAAGTAATAGCACTGACGACGCTCCAGGAAATCCCTAATATGGACAAAGGCATCCAGTTATCGCTGAATAAAACGCACAACGGAGATAGAGAAATTCTAACTGATGAAACACGAAGACAATAAATATACGATTACACAAAATATATGGTTTATCTGTGTTCTTCAAGCAATCTTGGGTATTTTTTATAAAGAATGTACATTTACAACTAGGCTTTATCGATATTATCGCGGGAAGACTAATTCTTATTTGGGAAGATTTTTTACCGGTATATTGCAAACGCCCATCCCTACAACTCAGGATAAGAAGATGCCAGCTTCACTCTTTTATTCATGATTTTGTCCAGTTGGATTTACCAGCCTATTTTAGGCTGTCTATACAAGAGAACTTTCAAACCGCTTTCATACCAACCAAACAAGGGTTGATGTGGAAGCGTTTGTCTTTGCATCTGTCTTGCCGTTCTCTTCCTCTCATGTGTTTTTCAGTTGTTTCTGATGACCTACATTGCATCCTCCATCGCTGCGTGTGTAAGAGTGTCACTTTCTTCATTATATCTTTTCCTCTTCCTCCATTTGTTTCTTTGGCTGTTCTCGTCCTTGCGTGTCCTTCAGCGTGACCTCAGTGCGTTTCTTGCAGTCTGAAAAGAATGTGCATAAAATGTCCCAACAGCCTGACTGCTATCACTGAAATTATTAGTATTTTAGCCAATCAGAAACACAAACTCTGCACATTTGGGTTCGCTGACTCGTTTTTGGAGCACAGCAGGGTTTTGGAAAAGGCGTGTGTGGTTGAAGTTTGCAAAATGACTGGAATAGCTTACATCACCTTTTTAGGGTTTGCATACTTAAATGCAGTGAGGCAAATGCAAATGAAGCGCGTGAGAGAGAGGGATTCCGATTGAAGCTTGTCTTTTCCTTGTATGGAGCAGGAATGGGCTTTAGTTGGATTATGTAGTGTGATATCAGGCGTCCTGCAGGCTTCCCCTATACCTCACAGATCGTGTGTGTGTGTGTGTGTGTGTGTGTGAATCTACATGGCTGCTGGATTTGAAGTGCTTCCTCTCCTGTTCTGCACAAAACCAAGGCTCATTGGAAATACGTGCTTGTGGCAACTAGGGTTGTGCGATATTGACAAAAAAATTATTGGGATTTTATCGATAATTAGACGATATTTTGCTGAGTGTGTTATTGTGCTGGTATCTTAAGGACTACCGTGGACAGCTGACTCCTAAAGTTTTTGATTTTCTTCATATTCTGGGTGGTGGTCAGTTCACTCTGATAGAAATTAATATTTTCCAATAAGTTTAAATTAATTTGTACTTTTTAGGCATTTTTACCTTTATAAAGCAATTTCCAAAATTTTGCATCATCTTTTGAGTCAAATTCTTACATTTAATCAGTGAATTAGAATAATAAGATATTTGGGCTGTTACCAAGCAAATGAAATCAGTATCAACAAAATTCATCTTTACAATGCAGAGGAAACACAGAAGCTGCGTCTGAAGCGGCATTTAGACGTAAACTGTTTAGTGCAGAACATGAATGCTTAACCTGCAATTGCAAATGCATAAATAATGTTTTGATATATTAAACATAAAATGTTGAATACTGTTATTCGAAATGATCTGAATAATAACTTAAAATGTGAAATTAAAACCGCTAGCAGGTAGCATCAAGTCACTGTTAATAAGTGAGTCATTGCAATTGAACCGAATCATTTAAACGGTTGATTCATTCAGGAACGAAACGCGTTCAGAGACGCAAAACAACATTGCTGTGTTTAGAATTATATTTGTAGTCGAAATAGAGCAAAAGCAGGCAATATTGTGTCTAAAACGTAAGTCTCTTAAGTTCTTTTTGAACTGTTGTAAAATATTACATGTGTAATGGTAATCATGGTAATTTTTTGAGAAATAACGGCACTCTCCGTGTGATATTGATTTACTATATGAAATATAAATATATAAATTTTCTGTCCCCATATCTTGAATTTTGTGATCATTCTAAATGCATTGTATGCATCTAGACTTCATGTAATGTATGCGTGTACTCTGTAGGTGTGTTTTGAAAGGTTTTTCCAAAATACTCGATATTGTCAAATCGATATTTTCATGGACGATATATATATCGCACACCCCTAGTGGCAACATTTCTGCAATACGTTATTATGTACCTTACTGCATGTTTCGCGGCAGTTTCAAAGTGAAATGTCCAGTGACTGGCGCTAAAACACATGTTCAATACGTCATTTAAACGGTTGATTCATTCAGGAACGAAACGCGTTCAGAGACGCAAAACAACATTGCTGTGTTTAGAATTATATTTGTAGTCGAAATAGAGCAAAAGCAGGCAATATTGTGTCTAAAACGTAAGTCTCTTAAGTTCTTTTTGAACTGTTGTAAAATATTACATGTGTAATGGTAATCATGGTAATTTTTGGAGAAATAACGGCACTCTCCGTGTGATATTGATTTACTATATGAAATATAAATATATAAATTTTCTGTCCCCATATCTTGAATTTTGTGATCATTCTAAATGCATTGTATGCATCTAGACTTCATGTAATGTATGCGTGTACTCTGTAGGTGTGTTTTGAAAGGTTTTTCCAAAATACTCGATATTGTCAAATCGATATTTTCATGGACGATATATATATCGCACACCCCTAGTGGCAACATTTCTGCAATACGTTATTATGTACCTTACTGCATGTTTCGCGGCAGTTTCAAAGTGAAATGTCCAGTGACTGGCGCTAAAACACATGTTCAATACGTGACTGTGGCACGTTTTTATTACTTTGCTTCAGGTACGTATTGCAGGAGTTCAGAATTTAAATGTCCGGTGATTGACGCTGGAAGGTTAATGCTCTATTGTGTTGGAAAATAACATCCCCCTACACCAAACCCAACCCTAAACCTACCCGATAGTGTTATTGAATGCAGAAGTGATGTCAAAAAACACATTTGCTGATGCAACCCTGCTATTTTAACTTCCTTGTATGCAGGTTTGAGCTGTTTTTAAAAACTGTATCGTAAGTGCAACGCCATATCGGGTGCGCTACCGAGCAAACCTACTGCGTCAGAAAAACCATGCATATGAAGCTGGATATGTGACGCTAACATTCAAAAGTATCAGTTTTCAAATCTGCATGTTAGAATGGTTTTGAAGTCATAAGACAATATTGTGCGAAAATTCCACGTTCTTAATCGAAACTCTGCCCATGCAAATCACAATTTGTGTGAAAATGAATAAAAGTGGTCTGAGTTTTAGTGTTCATTTCAACTGGAAACTGCAGTGATTCGTACATATAGGTACATTGTTTTAGGTAGAGGCACGTATGGGTAGGTTCTGCAACATATCGTGCATGTTAGTTAAAGTTTGGGTCTGGAAACCGAAAGGTCATAAACCTACAGAGAGGGATTTGTTCCTGTAATTGGCATCTAATTTCCTCTAAATAAGTGTCAACTAAATGACAAGCGTTTTCATGTACATGTCCAGATAAATCCTGGCCTACTTCTTACCAAATGACCTTGGATATCAAGATTTAACATTGTACAGAAACCAGTTCTCTACCAATCGTACTCGCGCTGTTGCGCTGCGGTAAGATTACCGCTGCTGTGTGTAAAGGACAGGGAATGTTGTGCATGTTGTTGACCCGTAGTAGCCTTCTCACAGTCTTGAACGGATAAGATCGAACAAAATAATCTCCTGTAAAATCACTTCTGAGCTGTTCAGGGATCAGCCGTTTCTCAGAGTAAGGCCATAGTGCTTCTTTCGTGTGGTTGTGATCTCTTTTGCATGAGGTTTTGGTCCTGATTCAATATTCAAATGTGTGCACTGAACTTTTGTGAGGCACGGAAAGCTGATCGGTTATTGGTTGAGCCGTTTATCATGCCTCATTCATTTTAAGTTAAAGGGGTAGTTCATACGAAAAATCCCCCTGCATGAGTTTCTTTATTATGCTGAGCACAAAAGAAGATGTTAGTAACCATACCGTTGCTGGTAGCCATTGACTTCCATAGTGTATTTTTTCCATGCTTCCCTACAATTGTCCATTTAAGCATAATGTTAATAAATCTGGTGGTGTGAATGTTTACTTAGATGAAGGTTAGAAACCTGCAATCTATTCTTTTCTCATTAAAGGTTTCTGGCTTGGCTTTGGATGAAAACTTCAAGTCAAGTCACATTAAATACAGGATATTTTGACTGTTGTAAAAAGTTAATTTGGTGAACAGACGCTCAAACTGATGCATCTGGACCAACGAGGTTTGTTCTCACGCATGTTTGAGCTTCTGTTTATCAATGTTTGATGTGCTCTATGTATGTGCGTTGATTTTGTTTATATGTGAATGAAAGCCTGAATTAAATCTGTTCACCATATCCAGCAATCATGTGTCTTTAGAACAGTTGGATTAAATGGCTCAATTCATATGGACTTCTTTTATGATGTCTTTATGAACTTTTCGAAGCATCACGTTTTGACAGAAATCTCATTCAAAATGCCTTCGTTTGGCTTTCAAAGATGAAGAAAAATGATCATCATTTATTCAACCTCATGTTGTTCCACACCTGTGTGACGTTCGTTCTTCTGTCGACACACAATCCGATGCTTTGAAGAACATTAGGAACCCAATCACATTGGAGCCCATTGGTTTGACAGTCAGTGGAAAGAATTAAAATGATGTTTGACGGATCGTTTGAAAATTCAATTTCAAATTGGATTTCAAGTAAGCATTGTAGTCGATACATATTTGCTTGAAATTGTGGTCCATCCAAAACCAGTTTGATTAGTTTGTATCCTCATACAAAAATGCATTAGATCATCACCTTTGCTTTGAGACGCAGCTATAATATCTGGGCCCTTTCATCTATGTGAGTCTGGTTAGTTTTTGCTTTCTCAGCAGCGTTGCATAATGGCTTTCTTTGCTATTTCTTGTGGATTTTCAGTGCCTTGTCCTTACTCTCCATCTGCAAGTCTGTGCGACTGGCACTCAATAGTATTATGCATGCCGTACTTGGCGGATTTTCAGCTTACTCTCCGTCTTCAAGTCTGTGTGACTGGCACTCAATAGTATTATGCATGCCGTACTTGCCGTACTTGTGGCTCGTTGCACATGTGTGCTCTTCATATCTCTGTGTATGTTACATGTTGCCGAGGCCCGCGGAGTGAGCGCAGCATCATCTGAGCGTTATGTAAGCGTTAGCCAGCTGTGGAATGCACTTCAGCTAATGCCTGTGTAATCCAGCACTGGAGCTAGAGATGGAGCTCCTCTCTTCAGTCTCCAGCTCTCATCCCAACCCTCTTCCCGAAGGATTAGAGCACAGATCCGTCCTCACCGAATACAGCCGCCCCTCCATCGTTTCTCACTGCATTGCTTTTAGTGATTCATGTGGCATCACAACATGAGGACATTACCATATAAGTAATTATAAGTAATTTAACAGTAATTTGGCCTGAACTGTGAACTGCACCAGTAGATGGAGGTGAGCTAATTATAACAGAGCTCATGCGCATATAGTCTTGTCTTAAAGGTACATCATAGCAAAACAGCCTGATTAATTTAAAGATTGACTGGGAATAAATATTAACCTAATATTAATTGATTGATGAATTTATTTATTTACTTGTTTATTTAAGCATAAATGCATTTATTTATGCATGCAATTATGCATTCATTTATTTATACATGCATGCATTTTCTTTATAAATGTGTTAATGAATTTTTTTTTTTTTATGCATTAATGCATTCGTGTATTTATTAAAAAAATGTTTAATTGTTTGTTTATGCATTTATTTATTTATGCATTAATGCATTTGTTTATAAGTGCATTAATGCATTTATTTATTTATCTATTTAAGCATAAATGCATTTATTTATGCATGTAATTATGCATTCATTTACTTAAGCATGAATGCATTTTCTTTATAAATGTGTTAATGGATTTATTTGTTTATGCATTAATGCATTTATGTATTTATTGAAAAATTGTTTGTTTATGCATTTGTTTATAAGTGCATTAATGCATTTATTTATTTAGTTATTTATTTATCTATTTAAGCATAAATGCATTTATTTATGCATTAATGTATTTATTTATAATTTTTTTTTTTTTTCTATAAACTTATTTAAGCATTAATGCATATATTTATGCATGCATTCATGTTTTTTTACTGGGTCTACTGGGTTTTTAGGTGGTTGCGTAATTCCTTAGCAAATACGAAGCTGATTGACCCTTCTCTATACCTTAGTAACTGTTGCTGTCTGCGATTTTCTCACAAGCTTTTGTGCTACTCGCACCCCATATAGGTACATTGTTTTAGGTAGAGGCACGTATGGGTAGGTTCTGCAACATATCGTGCATGTTAGTTAAAGTTTGGGTCTGGAAACCGAAAGGTCATAAACCTACAGAGAGGGATTTGTTCCTGTAATTGGCATCTAATTTCCTCTAAATAAGTGTCAACTAAATGACAAGCGTTTTCATGTACATGTCCAGATAAATCCTGGCCTACTTCTTACCAAATGACCTTGGATATCAAGATTTAACATTGTACAGAAACCAGTTCTCTACCAATCGTACTCGCGCTGTTGCGCTGCGGTAAGATTACCGCT